GGGGGGGGGGGGGGGTCAGCCCCTTCCCCCCAGGTCTCAGTACCACCTTCTCTCCACCCTTCCACCCCCAGGGAAGTGGCAGGCCTGGTGCCCCCTTCGTGGCCTTCCTCAGGGTGCAGTACTACGTGGAAAACGGAAGGCTTATCAGGTAAAATTGCTCGCTGGTTCTCTGGCACGTTCCCGGAAGGGTGACCACCTGTCAGGATGCGGTATCGCTGTTGCTTGGGGGGCAGAGGTGCAGCCATTCTTTTTAATTAACCAACATGTAAAGCCTAGAGCAGAAACAAGAGAGTGTTTCAAACACAGGTATGTTATGCCCCAGTGTGGGGTTTCCCAGGTGTGTGCTGGAGGGTCTGCGGATTCCTCTGTAAGCGGGGCCTCCTCCTGCTCTGGGCTGCATGCCCAGCTGCTGGTGCTCCGTCCGGGTGGGAAAGGCCACCAGGCCAGCACACCTGCAGGGCCTCCTTCTGAGTTCCTGGGCCTACTTTCCCAAGAGAACCCCACCACAGCATGTGGAAAACACAGGCCCTGGGGTGCCCCAGGAACTGAGTTACCCCATACCGGTGGCGGGCAAGCGGGGCCCGTGTCCCAGGAGCCCCTGAGCAGGTGCAAGCGGGCCGGGGTCCCCACAAGCCTCCCCAGGCAGAGAGCTGAGGGGGGGAGGCTCTGGAAAAGTCTCGGAGGGGAGAACAGGCAGGTCGCGGGGAGGGAGCATGGCTGCCCCGTGCTGTGGGGCCAGTCGCTGGTGGTGGTGTTAGAAGGTCTGAACTTGCTCTTCCCAGGGGCCCTGCTCCCTGTGTGTGTTGGGAAATTAGCAGAAGAAAGGGGCCTGTCTCTTGGGAATGAGTGGCAGCTATAAACCAGGTCTGCCGAGTTCTGGGTCCCAGGAGCCCTGCCCGAAGTCAGGCTCACCTGGCTTCTCAGCAGCAGGGGGGCGGCAGCACATCCACCTGTACCTCCCCCGCTACGGGGCCCTGAGGGTCCTGGGGCCCTGGGGCAACGAGACGGGGCGTGGCGGGCGGGGGGCGGTGACTGGCGGGGTGGGATGCCGCGGGCTGCAGGGGCACAGCGCTCCTGAGCCTGCTTGCCTGCCAGCGACAGGGCAGCCAGGCACCTGTACTACTGCCACCTGAAGGAGCGGGTGCTGCGGTCCCAGTGCACCCACCGGGAGGAGGCCTACTTCCTGCTGGCTGCCTACGGGCTGCAGGCCGACTTGGGCAGTTACCGCGAGCAGGCACACTCGGGCCGCTACTTTGAGCCGCAGGCCTACTTCCCACAGTGGGTGAGGCCCCTCTCTCCATCCTGGCCACCACCCTCAGGGGCGGGGGGGGACCCCAGGCTGGAGGGGGAGCAGGCTGGACAGATGGCTGGTGGTTCCCTCCTCAGATCATCGCCAAGAGGGGCAGCGCCTACATCCTCAGGCACGCGCCCACCCTGCACCGTGATCAGCGGGGCCTGAGCACCAAGGAGGCCGTGCTACGCTTCATCCGGGAGGCCTGCCGGCTGGAGGACGTACCCGTCCATTTCTTCAGGCTGTACAAGGTCCAGCTGCGGGGACGCCAGGTGGGGGAGGGCGGCTCAGACCTGGGATGCACCTCCCCAAGGGTCCACAGGGCGGCCAGGACCCCGACCCAGGACAGGAGGGACAGAGTCTCCACGGCTGTCCTAGGGCCGGGACGCCCAGCCAGCATCAGAGGAGAAATGGGAGGAGGCCCGGGGACCCCGCCTCAGCCCTTAGGCACCCCTGGTCCACCAGCGAGGGTCTGCGAGGGGGGCCACAACCCCAGGCCAGGGGCTCTAGACCTTGCCAACGTCTGTGTCCTCTCAGGATAAGAAGGAGGACCGACCTACCATTGTCCTGGGACTGACCCTCAGAGGAGTACAAGTCTATCAGGTGACCAGCAGGGGCCCTCCTCCCCCTCCCCTCCCCTCCCCTCCAGAGACACCATTACGGCCACCCACACAAAGAGGCGATTGTGAATCCAGCCCCACAGAAACCCCAGGAACATGGTGGAGGCCTGATTTCCATGAACAAGCAGAGTCCCGGCCAGGGCCATTGCGGGCGGCAACCTC